CTGTCGTGAAACTAGAATTCGCCTAGCCAGTTAAGACAGTCTTGTTAGATGGTAGACGGGGCCCACAAGCTTGTACAACTTAAGACCATGGATGTCGGTTTCCATTTTATTTTTAAAAAAGCCCATTCTTATATGCTTTTGAACGGTCCTAATTAGTCGCCACATTGTGTAGTATATTATAACTAGTTTTGTGGTATAAATAATATATTAAAAATTCGCATCCATTGAAATGTTTCCATCAAGTTCACGACCGAATTAAAGGGAAAAAAGAAACAATCTGAAAATGAAATGAAATTAAATGGGGTTTAAGGTCTTACTGTTCTGCTCCGACCTGGGAGAATGAAGACGGGCATAAGTCAATGTGTACACGGTACCTCGGTTTTTCGTCCCATCCGAACTAGACAGCTGTCCTTGTTATGCCCTTCGTCCTGCATCACTGACAAGGGGGGAACCACGCCGAAAAATCTCGATGAACTTTCTCGGCCAATGCAGGAATCGAACACCCGACCTGCAAGCTAGCGAGCCAGCGTCTTACCCACTTAGCCACCGCCCCCCACCACCACCCGAATTAAAGGAAGCAAGTCTTTCATCCATATCATCCACAGTCCCCGACATTACAAACACGACTTATTGGTCAATTTAAATCAACATTGATGGTGTTATCTTGCCGTAAAAAGATATCCAATATTTAAGACAAAATGAAAATTTTACAATTGGCACACAAATCGCGTGCAAGAGTGCTTTCGGACGCCATTTGTTATGAAGCGACAGACTCCACAGGAGAATTCTACCGATGTAGACTGGAATAACCAGACGCCAAAGACTGCCATTCAATTTGGACTCTTCCCGTGTTTTGCGGAACATAACTGATTTGAAATTAGAGTAAAAACAGAAACGACAGAATGTACATCAGTTTATATAATTCATATTACATAATTATTTGCGTTGCGACCCTTTTGTGTCAATTTCTAGGTGCCAAAGAATAGGGATTTAGCTACTTCAAGAATTAGTTATGCACGAAAAGAACGGTTTGAAGCATACCTATCTGGCACTACATATTTATGCAGTCGTAGTATGTCTTGAATTTTAATGTTACTCACTTTCTCAATGACCACCACTTACTCAGTTCCGTCAGGTTTGTTGTTTGTATTTGTCAATTCGAACTATGGTTAGTTTGTCTTGCAACCTTATGTTTGGTGGGTTTATCTCCGAATATCCGATTGAATTCACTATTCATGTAAGATATTGAGAGAATTGAATGTTTTAACGATAGAAAGAGTGACTGGTTATTGCCTGTAGGTTCAGTGAATATTACCATAGTGGTCAATAACTAAGTGAGCCATCATATCAAGATCGATGAAATATCATACACTAATTGTAAACACCATCTAGCAAATATTTACAATCGCATGGATGTCGGATACATATTGCTCCAGGGCGCGAATTTACCGTTATGAGCATATAGCGAAAAGGGTGATAAATTGGAAATATGAAATTCAGAGCAGATTTTTTGTATATAAAGACATAATTTGGGGTGGGGGCGTGGGTATTTTTGTTATATTATTATACAGCTGCATGTCAGTGGCTAATTTAAGTTAAAATTCGTCTAGGTCTTCTTTCAAATTTACAACTTTGTCTACTATGTAATGCAGATTCGAGGAGGTACTCGGCAGTAGACTCTGCCCCCATTTCATTCAGTTCATTTGGGTAAATCTCTGGTAGTTTACAATGTCCGTGTTTTATCTGTTTCTTTTACATGTTGGGTCTGTTTTATTATTGTAAACGTCTCAGTAGTTGCTTCTATTTTCTTATGATTTTTTTTTATCACGTCCTAGTCTGTGCAATAATGCTCACAGTAGAATTAATGGCGTCATTAGTTCTATCGTGATGGTACCTACGTAAAGGCCTAAACATGCTCGTTTAATGAAGGGAAGAGCTAAGTGTGTGTTATTTTCTGGGTCATTTTATTCAAAGATACTTATGGTAATTAAGGTAAAGGTCAATGGTAAAACCAAGTTTTGGTGTACTATATAACCCATGTTAAATCCACCGTACCCTAGTACCTCCTTATAAATAATAATACTAGATTAACATCTTATTATTCAATTAGTAACTGACAAATAATTAGAAGGGTATAATTAGAGATAATTACATACAGAATATATATATATATATATATATATATATATATATATATATATATATATAGACTAAGTCTGATTCTTAGACTTTCTATAGATCTAGATACTATAGAGGCACTAGTGTCTGATATTAAATCAGTATTTTCTTCATGCTTGAAAAGACAATATCATAGTGTTACGTCTTCTGGTTTGGTAATAGGTAAGTTTACAGGGTTGTTGTTTTTTTTTCGTTTTTGGTTGTTGTGTTCAGCTTTGTTTTTCTTTTCATTAATATACGCGTACTTGGACCGTTAACAATATCAGCAGCAGCTTGCGTAAAATATATTTATATTTATGTGTCTAGCTCGGTAGCTAGGGTGTTGAGTCTTATTCATTCAGTACACTATGAGGTTTCTTGCAATTTCCTCAGAGGTTTATTTGACTATATCTGTACTCTTAGCTGATTTGATTTGACCCCTTTTATGTCAAGTATAAGAAAATAGTTTCTTTCCACATTTTACTGCAGCGTGTGGGGCATTTCCCTTTGATTTAGAACGGAAAAAAAACTAACATGTCGGCTTGGGAGAAACATACGTTAGTTAAATCTATTTTATGCCAGGAATAAAAAGTGTTGGGATGAAACGGGCTGGATATCGCCAAGGATGAAACTAGATCAATACTGTTATAAACTAGAAATGTCTAAAAAGAATTCTAGTGAAATGAACCAGAAACGCAACAAGCAACTTTTATTCACAAAATTAAAACGCGTTTTCATCTACTTCTTTGAATGTTTTTTTCTATTTGGGGGTGTTTCTGGGTATCTTAATATCCAAATTGCTGTACAGGAAAGAGTAAGTGACAAGTGTTAGATTCATGGTGTAAAAGGAAATGAAATAAAATTGGATTTAACGTTCTACATCTTTGTACCAGCCGGGATAATGAAGACGGGCATACGAGGGAAATGAAATGAAATGGGGTTTAAGTTCTTTCTGTTCTGCTCCGATGGGCTAATGAAGAGACGGGCTTACGCCATACAGTGTGCTATGAGGGGATATTTTGCCCGGACAGCAGCGATTTGTCCTACTCTTATATCGAATTCCAACTTCCAAGGGATCTTTTACGTGACGCCTATGTGTACATGGGAGGATTAAAGAGAGCTGTCTTTGTTAGGTTCTCCGTCATGCACCACTGACAAGGGGGAAACCAAGCAGGAAAATCCCGATGAACTTTCTTGACCAGTACCGGGAGCTCTCGACCTCCGGGCTAGCGAGCCAGTGTATGTCTCACTTAGTCACAGTGGCCCCGGCATACGAGGGGCTGACGGAAAAGTTCAAGGCTCTTATTTAAAAGACCTGTACAAATTCGATGGTTTTCATTTATCTTCTTACACAGTTCTGTTCGAGGTGCACACACTTTTGTTGCCAACGATGTTGCAAGGCCTTGATGCTGGTCAGTAAGAGACTTTCTTCAGCTACCCTGATGGCGTCATTATTTCTAGGAAAATGACGACCAAGTAGTTCCTTTTTCATTTTTGGAAACAGGTGGAAGTCTGACATGGCAAAATCGGGACAAAAAATTATCAAAACGGCGCAGATAATCACGGGACGTCAGTAATCTTACACGTTTCTGATAGGCAGCTAAGAGCTTTTACATCCATCTTGCAGGAATTTTGTCATTCCTAACTCATTGGCGATAATGTGCTCAACCCTCTCATAAGATATGCCCACAACACGGACAATCGGCGATCATCCATCACCATGTTATGCACCCGGGTAATGTTTTCTTGAATGGTTGCTGTTGATGGCCTTCCAGAACGCTGGTCATCATCAAAGCGTTCTCTTACACGCTTAAATTAAGCAGTCCACTTCTGAACTATGGAAGGGATCACGGTGGCTAGGTGGGTGAGACGCTGGCTCGCTAGCCTGGAGGTCGGATGCTTTGGCCGAGAAAGTTCATCAAGATTTTCCGGCGTGGTTCTCCCTTGTCGGTGATGCAGGACGGAGGGCCTGACAAGGACAGCTGTCTAGTCGTTCGGATGGGACGAAAAACCGAGGTCCCGTGTACACATTGGCGTGCACGTAAAAGATCCCTTGACAGTTGGAATTCGATATAAGAGTAGGCCGTAGTGCCGCTGTCCGGGCATAATTTCCCTCATGGCACACTGTCTGGCGTATATCCGTCTTCATTAGCCCAGTTCGGAGCAGAACAGTAGGACGTTAAACCCCATTTCATTTCATTTCTGTACTGCGGCATCATCCTCTAAAGTGGAGACCATCTGTGTTTGGGTTTCGTCCTTTCAGTTGCGGGTACTTGGTGATTGCCCTATAGCCAGTTTCTGCAGTGATTTCAATGGGTAGGTTCACAAGATGGTATGGTACGAAGACAATAATTACACTACAGTTGCAGTTCTTATGGCTATGACCCATTCAATGATTGTACTTGTTGGTGGCTAAAGTTTGTTTCAATCCAATTGATCTATCCTTTTCAGGCTTAGAACTTTTCAGCCAGCTCTCGTATGTAAAAAAAAACAATTTCAATATCCACAGAAAATTATTTTACCTAGATTAGCGCACAGAAATATAATTCAAAATAAATGTTGTTAAGTTCTAGTTATTGTTTTTCGACACACTTTCTTTGATTTGTTTTGCAAACTTCGAAAAACTCAATTTTCAAAAAAAATCACTCGTTTCTTTATTGTGTGTTTGGAATACGAGACACATTCCACTCCACGTCCGTTGGAGAAACCTACAAGAAAGGTACACTATATATTATACCTTATAAAACCATGACTCTTTTATGTTCGCATGACTTGGGCTTCTGTTTGCCAATATAATATGGATTCCCCATGTTATTAAACTGTATGTCATTTTCATACTTCAGATCCTGTGCTCGCCGACAAGAGATAATTAAAGGCAAGGAATAAGATATTAGTTGATCCAGTAAAAAAGTTATTACATTGAACGGTATGTTGAAAAATCAACCTGGGAACAGTGTACGCTCTCATCATGCTTCGAATACTGATCTTTGCTTGGACCATAAACTTTATACAAGGTAAGAACGTAAACTCATTCTTTGGGGAATACTCGACTGATCTTTCCTGAATTGAATTAGCTCAATCCCTAAAATAGTAACAATCCAGTTAAAGGGGTGATTAGGGGCTATTACATGCGCCGACTGCATAAGAAACTATCCTAACCAACCTAGACAGCTGAAATACATTTGTTATGTATAATTACATCACGATTCTACCCACACCACCTCCGTTGTCGGGACTGGCAGAATTGTGACAGGAGTCACTCCATTACTATTCTGTCAATTCGGGACTGACAATCCAGTATGCCCCAAGATTCTCTATATGAACCTTATCTTATTACTTACTGTACACGTTTCGACGATAAATCACCAATTTTTTTAATTGTTTGCGAAAAATACCCGTTTTCCCTCATGCCATATAAACATGTATCACACGCTCACAATTTTCAATTATAGAATCGGCTTCAGGTGATGGTGTTATCCATTAAATCCAGCGGGTGGGGGTCTATTTAGAGGTTTAATCACAAGATCTGCCATTGAGTCAACTGGCGTGCTTTAGATTCCCCGTTTGTACGTGACAAGTAGTAGGGTCGCCTGTCCAACCTCGTGGGTTTTTTCTGGGTCCTCCAGTTTCCTCCCACTACTAAAGACCCCTACGCACAAGCGAATTATTGAAATAAGATAGAACTCTCTCTCTCTCTCCAAATCGATTCACTCTCGTATTTTATTTTCTTAATAAGCTTTACCTGCTCTGTATGCAATCATTTTCACACTTCAGTTTTAATCAAAAAAGAAAATGCGAATTTATTTCCAAGTAGAAATTGCTAAATCCATCAATCAACAGGTATATATGCTTGATGGCCGGAATAAAATGATCGAATATAAAGATATGAAAAAGTCATATTCAATAGTCACGACTTTTGAAAAAAAAAACAAGACTGTGATATCGTTAATATTAAATAAAGATGGTGCCATGTGGTGTCTCTTGTGATTATTGATCTTGAAATGAAATGAACAATCAGTTATTATATTGTGCTGGTCGACAATAAGGAGCTTATCGTATAGTTCTCACTGGGCGAGCGACAAGAGCGTAGTCTCCACGCGAGATTTGACGTTAATTGCCGTTAGCTTACTAATGAGGGCTTCAGACAATGTCATTGTTAGCCTTTAAGTCTTGGAATTAAATAGTTTGTATACAGAAAGATATGTCTGTAAGATGAAGTCGCCAAGATTAACTTTAACTTAATCTAGGCACGTTCAAACAAAGACGGTTCAATACTCTATACAGATAATCTAGTGTTAAGGTACTCATTGTGGTACTTAATCTTTAAATACAAAGTCTAGAGAGGTTAACATTATTTTGTCTGATTTCGTTTCGGGAAATATAATTAGAACTTCATATAAATATTAAACCTTTCTATACCAATTTATTTTGAAGGTCAATATTTATGTGACGCTTTCTTTTCATTTACATTTTTTACACACCTGCAAACAATGCTGTTGCACGCTAAGCAATACAATTACTGAGTAGCTGTCATTAATCGAGGAGTTATTATCCCTGTTGTAACATCGTGATGAATTTATAATACATACCCGGACAACAAAGTTGTTGGTTTGCAATACCTGGCAAGTGGCAATCTGTGTTTTCGAGAAAGAGGACCATACCATCTATAAAGTTTTAAACTTGCAATATCAATATTACATGCTCTGTGTTTTAAAGCCGCTGATTATTATTTCTCTAAAGAGAGAGAGAATGGAGTTTAACGTCCACTTGACTCAAACTAAGTCATTTCGGTACCCGGAGAAAACGCACAAGTTTGGACAGACGACCCTACTCCTTGTCAGCTATAAGCGCGGAATCGAAAATTCCCCACTTGACTCAATGACAGACCTTCTGATCCTGCGCGCACGCGTTAACCATTCAGCCACCCAACCGCCCCATGTCTCTAAAATGATATCAGTCTTATAATGAATAAACTATAACACATATATAGTTATAGAAAAACAGCGGTATTAGCTTCATAACGTTGAGAAATACTCTTCGAAGCGTCGCCCAAATAAATAGCTGTTTTTCCACGAGTATGTGTTATAGTTTATTGCTGTATCCAGTTACTAAATGCTTCTCGAAGATTTTAGTTTTATAATGGTTCAGTTCCTTTCTTCATTATTTACAAAGATATGATGAATTGAACGCTGTGGAAGCAGTCGTTAAAAACATCTACTTCATACACATCACCTATATAAGTGATTGGTATAATTCATTGATAAGCCGTTCACTAATCCGATTAAATCCAGATTATCTACCGTTGATGTGTTTTCTTGTAAATAATCAATCTGAGTACATGTTAGCGTGGATCAAGACGTGAATAAATAATTAATCTCCGAAAACTGTAAAGATAAACAGCGGCTTTTAATCACATATTGTTTGTCTGCGATATCCCACTCGGTGGAAACGAACGAACAAACGAATCACCGATCGTACCCAAATCCCTACATCGCGCATGACACTATGTAAGAGTATGTAAACCTTGTCAAATCACAACATTTAATATTGTCGATTGTCGTAGAGAATTTAATCTAGTCCCTTTACATACTTGATATGTGTGTATTCCAGTTGTCAAGCAATTGGTCTCCTGTTCCAGTCAACAGACAGATAAAAAACCATGATCTTTTCATGAAATTACTATTCGATTTTGTGTGTCTTCGTGTCGATTATTTCTAAAGACAAATGGCAAAGGGTCAAGATGGAGTCGTGGTAATTGGCATTTTGCTGAAAAGGAATACTAATTTCAGTGATGGCTTTACTTGATGGCCGTATTGCTTTTATTGTTTATTGCCTCTTCATTTTAGTTTCTAGGCAATCTCCCACATAAAACTCTACTTTCTCTAAAAAAAATTCAATATCATTAGAGGACTTTGTCTTATCAGTATACAGAGGATCTTCCTGGCGTAAGGTCAATATAGATTTAGCAAATAATAAAACAATATGTCTCTCAAAGATAAAAGAAATATACTAGGAATTTGGCAGAAACTGCTAATCTCTGTGAATCAAATTTTGAACATATTTAATTAACAAATTAAATAGAAAACAAGTATCACCGTTCGATGGACAAGGAACTGGCTATGACGACATCGTGGCCATCTTAGAATTGTGACTTCATCGAAAATCGAAGTCCGTCAATCGATTCGCATTTATCCAAGGAACAAACATGACAAATTTTATGTCGAATCGGCGGCCCCAAGGACAAATTGAGTAGCGTTTGGGGGCGGATAGGTCTAAATAATAAGGCCAACTGCATATTTCATCAAGATCACGAGGTTTAGGTTTAGAGCACGTGATTGTTAGGGTAAAGGTTAGGTCTTGGGTTAGGGTTAGCGCTAGCGCTAGCCTATTTACATCCCGTGTCATTTGATCAAATCTGCAGTTGGCCTTAATATTGAACCATAACCTTTGGGACCAGTTCCTAGTCAAAAAATGAAGCAATTAATTAGTATGAACTAACGAGAAGTAAATGTACTTAAAATATATAAACTGAATAGCATGGGAAGAGATGAACTATAACAATTTAAACCGATACTGGGTCAAATCGCAATCTAATTTTTAAAAGTTTGATTATCTTTGTTTTGCTTGTTTATTGAATTATTATATATCGTAAACTATACAAATTGTAAAGATGGTAATTTACAGTTGCCAGTGGTATAAAATTGAAAACATGACATTCGACTACAGTGCATAAAGAAGGTTATCATATTGCTTTGTTAATTGATACGATATGGAAATCACTTACTTTCTAATAATATAGGTTTATCATGTTTTAAATCTGCACGCGAGTTTTCGCCTATAATTCATCGAATTCCATCTGCACAGGGACAGACAATGGGGAAACCAGGCAGGAAAATACCAACAAGTTTCCTCGGCCAAAACCGGGATCCACCCCACCTTACTCACTGAGGTGCCATGATTGAAACTTGCCTAGCAAAGATATGGGTCTATATATATATAAACTTCGATAGATCTATATTTAGAAAAATAACTTGGATTGATGTTTATTTCTAAAACTACACCTGTAAAGGAATGGAATGAAATAGAACGGAATGGTATTTAGCTTCGCTAATTATGAGACTGCCATAATGGCCACGTGATAGCCGCGTGGCTAAGGTCTGTGGGTGTTGACGTGCTCGAGGTATGCCATGCTAATTTCACAGGTAGACCTGCTTAGTTAATAAGTGTTAGAATTTGATATGAGTTTGTGAGTGCGAATATATAACAAGAATATATAAAAATAACCACGTGTTAGTCTTAAAATAAGCTGGGTTTTTTTTTAGATTTTCGAGTTTTTACCATTGAATACACAAAATCTAATGTTTACCTGTATAATTAGTTTACACCCAATCATGTGATTAAAATAACGCGAAAAAAAAGGAATCGTCTACTCGACCCTACAGTTGTAATTGTTAATCTCTTATGCATGATGCATTTGTCAGGAATAATCCTATAATCATTTTACTCTCTGGCTACCTATAATATGTCATGTGTTTTTTACAAGATTTCAGGAAAAGTGTTAAAAAAAACGAACATATCGCACTAAAGTCAATTAATTACTCGGCGGTAGGTTGACATCTTAATCTTCAGCTATATCGTTTTAATTCTTTCAAAAGAGATTCTTATGTCACTGATCATAATCCCATGCTGCTGGTAACACGCGCTCGGTTTAAGCGTTCCTCTTGCTGCCATGGGAACAATAAACTACGAGGAAATGAACCTACGCATGCGCTATGTCCTCCACGCCAGAAGTACAACCTATGACTATACATGTATACATGGAGGATAGTGTGTTAACCTAGGTGGAAGAATATGCGATATGTCGTGTGGGATCCTGGAATTTATCTTTATTTTCACCCTGTGTCTTCTCAATGCTGTCGGGGGCCAGTTTTACGACGATCGAGGTAAACGTTTATATCTTTTATTAATCTCTGTTATAAAGCTATTTCTGTGCCTAATAACTCGTACGTAGGCTATATGTAAGCTTATATTGGCAAAATACAACGTGTTGCCACTTCTTTTCCCAAACCTTACCTTTTGTTGTTCCAGGCAATATAGAACAAGTTATAGTCTATTTTCTGTAAAATCCATACCAACCGACTGTCTAATAACTTACAGTGAACCCCTACTTACTGCTTGACTTATAGGTTCGTTTAATAAAAACACCTGGCTATTCTATACTTACCTGGGTATATACAAGTTTATATTATAATACATACAATATTGCTTATGATTATATTTAATAGTATATAACATAGTAATATTCTTATATATTGATATTAATTAACACACCTATTACATAGGGTCACATCAATGAAATTCATTAATACAGTACATAAACGTGAGAATAGACACCGTATTATCAAATGCTATATATAGGTACGTTATTTTTATTGCATATAACATAGTAATATTCTAGTATATAAACATTATATTAACACACGTATGTGCATGTGGTCACATTTAATTAATGAAATTCATTAATATAATACACGGAAAAGGTGAGAATAGACACCATATTATCAAATCCTATATTAGCTACATTAGTAACCGTTATTTTTATCGAATATAACATAGTAATGTTCTAATATATAAACATTATGCTAACACACCTATGTGCATATGGTCACATTTAATTAATGAAATTCATTAATACAATACATGAAAACGTGAGAATAGACACCATATTATCAAATCCTATATTAGCTACATTAGTAACCGTTATTTTTATAGTAATGTTCTAATATATAAACATTATGCTAACACACCTATGTGCATATGGTCACATTTAATTAATTAAATTCATTAAATAGATGGAAACGTGAGAATATACACCATTTTATCAAATCCTATATAGCTACATAAGTAAAATATATTTTTATCACATATTAGATAGTAATATTCTAATATATAAACATTATGTAACACACCTATGTGCTTGTGGTCACATTTAATTAATTTAATTCATTAAATAGATGGAAACGCAAGAATAGGCACCATATAATCTTATCATATGTAGCTACATAAGTAAAAGTTATTTTATTTTTGTAAGAATACCTTTCTCTGGTGTTAATTACAGGTTTCTATGCCAAGTAATTCGCGCTCTACTTTTTTCCCCAGGAATTGGTAGTTCATTCAAACATATCCATCAAGAGAAAGAATGTTTGGATATGATACATATAACTATATAGTAGAATTCTTTAACAAACTCTGACGTACGCGAGTCATATGCTAATTGATTTGACTGAAGCTGTTGATGCGCTTGTGTCAATCCCACATTTTTGTTCATTAAAGAAACGGAAGTAAAATAAGTGAAACAGTCTTAATGATCAACGTCGATGATTACATTTCAATCCAAAATGTTTACGTACGGTACTGGTATATTAATTGCAAGATCTGTTACCTCGCCAATAATCAGTTTAAATCATATCAGAAAGGTCACAAGCTGTTTAAGATAATCTATATTTTTTCAATGGTATTTAGTAATTGAACTGGGAATACAATACTCGAGAAGCCTAACCGAAACATCGCTCAGTAATACGATAATCTAATCTGATGATCTTAATCCCTTTCTTTGATAAACAACCTGTACTCCATTTAGAAAGCTAAACGGAGTTTTCTGATTTTTTAAAACTTAATAACCCACCCCACCTATTAGTCATATAAAAAAACAATACATATACGTGGAAACTCCTAAACGTTGTGGTACATGACAACATATTGAATCGCACGTACATGACACCTGTAGCGGTACGTAGAGGTCAAGGTCAATTCAGATTGTCTTAAACTTGATTACGGATAAGAATTTTACTTATTTATTTTTAAAACATATATCAAATGATGAAAACATGACGACTTTAGACTCACACATAGCAGAGCATTCAATAGACCGATAGTTTATTTATTAAAACAATAATTGGCTATAATTTAGCGTAAATTATCCTTCCGGTTGATCTCATTCATGGAATAATCTTTTAGACTGTAAGGAAATGATCCGATTCTGACCCATAATTATACATAACTAAATACACTGTCCGCCAATCACACCACCAACGTGGAATGGACATGATGTCATTGACCTTCCAACAAGGGACCCTAATTGCACTTATTGCACACAGAATGATATGGGAAGATATTTAATGATTTTTAGATCGATAGAGAACAAAATGACCTCCATATTGATATTTGAGAACACGTGGTTTAAAGTTTAGTTAATGGTGGTCGAGAAACAGAAGTTTAGATATATATGTATGTATGGTGTATGTATGGTGTATCTATATCGATTAATTACAACATCTGCTAACTTCAATCACTTACTTGCTTTCGAAAACACAACCGCTGTCTTTATTATTATACATTTCTTATACGCATGTACTTGTATCCATGCTATAATATATCATCTATTGTTCTGGTCACATTAATGACCGACATATTATATTAAAGGAGGCAAGTCTTTAACTCAATATCAACCATAGTCTTCGACTTAGCAAACAATTGGTCAATTTAAATCAACATTGATGTTGTTATCTTACCTTGAAAAGATGGGCTTCGGGTATCCAATATTTAAGACACAATAAAAACATTTATATTATATGCGTTGCGACCCATTTGTTCCATTTCTAGGTGCCGAAATATAGGTGTTTAGCTCCTTTACACTCAAACGCTGGGTGTTTCAAACTATTCTGTCATTTGTTACATAAACGCATGTTGATTTTATCAATTGTCTAATGGCAGAATGTTCAGCTCTATCTTCAGAGTTAAAGACCCGAGAATGGCAAGTTTAGCACAGACATGAAACAAATACGTTAAAGATGTTCAGATATTGTCAATTTTAAGAAACGTATAACGAAGCACTCGATTATTTAAGTATTTTATGGTGTTTGGGATGTGACAACATTAATGTGACTTTAGCTAATTGAGTTATGCATAGGTCAGATTTTAAATAGTATAAAACGGTTTTATTTAAAATGTAAGGCTTTGTAAATTAGCCGTTTTCATTAGCCCTGTGGAGCAGAAAATTAGGGCGTTAGACCCGATTTCATTTCATTTGTAAATCAAACATACTACTTTATATCCACCACTGAATTTAAGCGTATATCCAAGCAGTGCCTAAATACCCGTTCCTAATAATGGCCAGCTTTACCCCATAACTACAAAGTACTGTCTAGATAAAATACATCATCATTCCATTGTCTGTACACATATCGATTTTTGGTTTTTCTTGGTAGAGAATTAGAAAAATAGAATTCGCCAACACAAAGATAATAAATAAGATCAAAGAAAACCGTAAACTAATAAATCGATTAATGTCTTTTTCAATTCATTTACTAAAGACACCATCTGTAGGTACCATAATAAACGTCAATCTTGCGACCGCCCCCCCCCCTCCAGCGACACACCACTTGATAACGCTAGATGATCTCGTTCAGGTATTTTTCGGCGATACCACCCTATGTGGAAGCGGACATTTAGCACCGCAAAGGAACGAACGAGCGTTCAGAGAAAGATAGATTTAAACACGGACATATCGAAATCACTTGATGTTCACACTCGTCTATAGTAGGCTAATCTTTGTTTAAATCGAACCAATGTTTGCATTTATATGCAACACCTTGCATTCCTCCACTAGTAAATCGTTCATATCTTGGAAGATAAAAATATTTCGTTTCGGTTGTTTTATAGTGAAGATAAGTAAAACGAAATTTTGAACGAAAAGAATGAAACGAAATAGTATATTTGTTTTCATCCGATTTCAGTTTATCTCTGTTACAATTGAAAAAAAATGATTCTTAACGATAATGAATTAACCCATATGCACACCTGTAGTGCGGAAAGTTCATACATCACTGATATTGTTAAATATGAAACAGGCAATAAATAATTAAAGATACCTTCCAAAAATAGTTCAAGATTTTATTACTGTCTCGTTCTTTAATTGATTGTGAAAGAAAATGTCATGATCACCCTAGATATATTGAGTTCGTCGTTATAGACAGTAAGGTAAATCTTTAATATTGGATACTCACGGTGGTATATATTAAATCAAGTAGTATGAGGTGCAAATTAAAAGATCACAAAAGGAACATTCTTCTAAAAGTAGCTGTTCGTTAGATGTTTGGTTCCAATCGTTAGACAGTATCTGGATTTACGAGTAGTTCTTGAACTCCTGGTAATATTCATGTATTTGGTGCATCGCGAGAAAAAAAAACATCGATTGTATACTGATATCTAGCATACTTAAAGTAAGTTATTGGCGAAGGTGTGATGTCATGGATATGCCGTCTGCATGTTTACTTTAAGCATTGATATGTAGAATATACATTTTTCCTTAAAGATACATTATGGGACATTAGATAAAGAGTTGGCAGTTCTCACTATAATAGTTAAAACTAGATGATGTAAAGGGAATTTGCTGAAAATTTCAGTCAAATTGATCCACCCTGAACCGAGAATTTAGCGATTGATATTTCGGCTTAGCCTCGATTATCATTACTAAAGTCGGTACGATAAAAACATAGTCTCGATTATCCACTTCATGATTAAATCATGAATGAAAGTTGAGCAGCAAATCGGATCCTAATCCAGTAAATATCGTAGGCTAACGATGACATCGAGAGTTGATTATGGTCTGGATAAGTTAATGTCTAATTAATAATTTACATAACATTTCAGGCCTAAAGAAAGACATGAAATATGCAGATTTAGCTCTTGCATAATGTATGTTTAATGGTATTGTTTAATACCCGTTTCCAATTTTTTACCATTTACATATAAATAGAGTTGTTATAAAAATAAAACAAAACAAAATGTGTAAATAAAGTATAAAGTCGATAACTAACATGAAATAAAGAATGCAGTAAAATGGGGGTTTAACGTCCTAGTTTTCTGTATCATCCGGTCAATCGAAGACGGCCATGCGCCATGCTGTTTGCTATGAGGGGATTTTTCCCGAACAGTGGTGAAACGGCCTATTCTTATTTCGAATTCCAACTGTCAAGGGTTATTTTACGTGCATGCAAACGGGTATACGAGATCCGTGTCTTTGGTCTTACCCGAATGACTAGAGTGCCGCATGCATTAGTGGTTTGGTGTAGTCCCCAGAGTCTTCGTCGCGGCCTCATTAAACAAAAACTAAAATCTGGGAATCCCATTGCTGGCTGCAGGTGTTGGTCTTAACAATGATGACCAGTCTCACTGGAGCTGATGGGGGGGGGGGCGCACGGACCCCTCGCCCCCCCCCCTGGATCCGCACCTGGGGCGCTAAACCCCATCTCATTTGTTTAGTACACTTCCAGTGTTTTAAACGATATAGGACTCTGGTAAAACAATTGACCGAGGTTAAGCTGACATGGCATTTAAGCATTTAATTTCATTTGTACTTTGAAATAGATCTCGAATCAAGCTGTCAAATTCATTTCTAAATCCCTAGATTCAAGCAAATCAAATTTCATATGCAGTATGTATTTAGATATGGTGTTATGTCAAAGATCCTATTCAATCAAAATTTTCATGTTTGTAGAAATATATATTCAGACGAATGTGGTGTTTTTCGAGCTAAATGTGATTCAATGAAAATGATGAGCTATTCAATTCTTTATATAAAATCTGTAAGATATTTACTTTATTACTCGTCTGGTGGATCTTCATGAATAATATTCTATATATTAAATCACAGATCGATATTTGTATGTTACATTGACAGAATATGAAGACAAGTTAATCTTAGTCTAATGTAAACAATATATTCTAACACAGACATACAGTGTTAATATCAAATATACTTACACGTGGGACTATATAAATACATATGTTATTGTATGTTATTTCAATAACAAGATACAAACTTACATATATTTTATTATTTTTTTTATATAGATAGTGATTTGGTCAAACCTTTAACAAGTAATTTATGGGGATTTTTTGTGTACTGTTTAAGTAAAGTGCTAGTTTCTAATTTGATGCCTTCGATGTATTTTGCCTATTTTAGAAGGCGTAAGTGAATATGTTGCCCAACCAATTTTGCCTGTTTTAGATGATTTAACTAAATAAAATCATATTTATCGTTATGAACCCAATAAATGATTTCACTTGTCTACCATGTTCATATTTGTAATATCGCCCATCCAATTTTAGCCACGTGTATGATTTGTCTAAAAGTAAATGGAAATATCGTGTATTGACCCGACCGGTATATAATAGTCACAGACTGATAAATATACCTGTATCAGCTATAATAACTAGGTAGAATCTTATGAATAGTATAATTACTGATATTAGCTATTACTTTATTCAGATTATTAATCGTGTAATCTGTTCTTACTGATATTAGCTATTAAAACTAGCTATATAGATTACAAATAGTGTATTTTGTTCTTGACGTTATGATAATATAATCTGTTCTTACTGATATTAGCTATAATTTAATATAGATATTAAATAGTATCATGATATAAGCTATACTATTATTTGGATTATGAATAGTATATTTTGTTCTTAACTTCATGTAGATGAAATGAAATGGGGTTTAACGTCCTACTGTTCTGCTCCTAAACTGGGCTAATGAAGACGGGCATATGCCATACAGTGTGCTATCCAATTCCAACTGCTAAGGGATATTTTACGTGCACGCCAATATGTACACGGGATCTCGGTTTTTCGTCCCATCCGAACGACTAGACAGCTGTCCTTGTCAGGCCCTGCGTCCTGCATCACTGACAAGGGGAAACCACGCCGGAAAATCTGGATGAACTTTCTCGGCCAATGCAGGGATCGAACACCCGACCTCCAGGCTAGCGAGCCTGCGTCTTACCCACTTAGCCACGTGATCCCCCTTCATGTAGATTATAAATAGTATAATTAGTTCTTACTGATATTAGCTGTACATTTATGTTGTTTATAAATAACATAATTTGCTCTTACTACTACTATCTATGTTCTTACTAATAATAGCTATAACATTGTGTGAATTATTGATAGTATAATTTGGTCTTCCTACAACTTCTGGTGCTTTATAATAATAGTAGGTGGAGTATCTTACTGATGATAATAGCTATAATAGATTATAAATAGTATACTTTGTTTTTAAATGATATTTCTTATAATATTAGGGGAGCCACGGTGGGTAAGGACGCTGGCTGGAGGTCGCGGATTCGATCCCGGAGTTGGCCGAGAAAGTTCATCGGGATTTTCCGGCGTGGTTTCCTCTTGTCAGTGGTGCAGGACGGAGGGCCTGACAAGGAAAGCTGTCTATTCGTTGGGATAGGACGAACAACCGAGATCCCGTCTACACATTAGCGTGCAAATAAAAGATCCCCTGGCAGTTGGAATTTGATATATGAGTAAGCCGATGTCAGGGCATATTTTCCCCCATAGCACACTGTATAGCGTAAGCCCGTCCTCATTGGGCCAGTCGGAGAAGAACAGTAGGACGTAAAGCCCCATTTCATTTCATTTTCGTTATAATAGTGGGCAACATGTACACAGTAAAATGTGTAATCTATAACAATGTAGACTGTATACAATATCATTATTTGTCTTGCTGATATTAGCTATAATATTATGTAGATTATAAAAGATATTATCTGTTTTAATGAACTTAATTGTGATAATATATTGTAAACGGTATAATCTGTTTATTGATATTAGCTACAATTACTAGCTGTATTA